GTTGCTCAATTGAAGTTCGTGAAGGTTAATCCATGAAGAGATGATGTAGGAATGGACCTTTCTAAGAATTCTGGGAAATGGGCGCTTATTAATTGCACGTGTGGTCACAATGCCTAATATCACCGTCGAATTCGTTTGTTCGGGTAATGCTGAATTGGGAGTTGGGCGGCTCCAAGCCGGATGTTTCTGGGAACTTTACGCCAATCGCCATGTCCCACGACACCCGAGGACGCAGGATGCTAATATCTCAGACTACGGATAGTCCTTAAAAAGGGGACTAATTGAGACTAACGTCAAGGATTCGAAGGAACTCACTCGCCCGCATGAGAATCGACTCCGTAATGCCCCGCACCTCTCCAAGACTGAGGTATAGAAGATAAGATATGCCGAAGACACCAGAAACATATTATTATGGGCTTATCAAGTCGTCTGAAGATCTAAGTAGAACGTTTCACCATGACTGAGAATGAAGCTGGCATTCTAGAGATCGCAGTCTGTCGCAGACTGGACCATCTAAGCAATGGTCATAATACTCAAGTGCGGTCGGGCCTAAGTCGAGGACTCGAGGCCTGTTCGAAAAGTCAGACTGTGAGGTAAGAAAGTCTTCTTAGTTGTTTGTTGTATTGAGTGTCCCTTCTGTAGGCCAGGTCCTTGACAAGTAGAAGAGACGAGACTCCTGTAGACATGGATGTTAACAGACAGTGTATAGATGAGAGGACTTATGCCCTAAGTACATTGATGATTGGGCTCTTAGTAGCTTTCTAGTGACTGTCTTTGTTACAGGCTAGATTCTTGCTGCCTTTATAAGTGTTACCAAGCTACAGGTCTCAACTTTTGCACGTAAGGTTGGGCATCTTAAAACAGTTGGCAGATGTGTTGGTTACCACTTTTGTCCGCTTCCGCCGGCGAGCCCTTCATTATTTCCGACAGTATCTCCACAAGATGAAATCATGCCAGACGACCTACGTATAGATGAGACTTTTTATATTGTGTAAATGATATCGAGCACCGCTTTACGTCTGAGGAATCAGCCTTTGAGCAGAATCAAGACATAAATAGACGAGCCAAAAGGCAGAAAAACAAACAAATAGACGAGACTTTCAGATTATAGCTCATCCTTCGAAAGGAGGGATTAAGGTAATATATGAAATGAGGATACTTCTGGATTCTGTTAGAACCCCAATTCTCGGCAGTACAACCAAAGTAATGATGTTTATACTGCTTCATGCTCTGCTCGGGCACACACCGTGGTTGGTCGAGCCCGCTCGGTTAAGTGGAAAGTGCACGTGGAAGAACCAAAGCCCCAACAGGTATTTTTCTCCATTCATGGCGCTCTCAATTGTTGACTTGAATCCCTGTGCGGTACTAGACAAAAAGCCAGCTAGTCTAAAGCCATTGACACTGAACACGAGAGCCGTGGCTAGCTTTAGGTCAGTTAAGGTAGAGGACTTCACTTTTGACCGAAGCCCACTGATGCTGCCTGATGTTAGTTCGAATGGCTGGACGATGCGCGGGGAGGTATTCGGAGTTGCAAGCATATCAGCTTTCCTTATAATCTACGAGACTGAGTGAACACGCGGGCCCAAATGAACTTGACGTAGCAACATCTACTAGTGTTTGCATGGATTCAGATAGTAACACCAAGACAACGGCAAGTTTAAGAAATAGAAAAGTGAAGCGATTGATCATTGGTCGACAGTCATTCTCATGAATCTACTGCCTTGGAATGTATCCATGACAGAAAACAAGCGAGAACAGCGCATTTGTCCCCCGCTAATAGAAACTAACACGAATGAAGTATATACGTCACAGGCAGACAATCGCCTAACCTCCATTTTGTTAGTTCTTCGAGGCGATCACCCGATGGCCGCATCAAAAGTCGAGCTAGTTGATAAGCACACTGTTATATGTGAGCTGCTAATCTAAGGCTTGCTAAATAGGTGAAATTGGCACCCAACAACAAGGCATCACTACATGTTATATCCTCTTGTGCAAGTTCTGAATGTCCTCCAAACCTCCATGCGTCAAATCCGCACTCGGATAGGAGGGAGATCATCATCCGCCACGGTGAGGCGTCATTATCGACGTCGCATCCTCCACCCCTCACCCCTCTCCCCCGGAAAGTATTATGAACGAACATGGTTCCCGCTGGTAAAGACGAGAACACACTATCGATCTATACATGTAGGTACTTGAGTGCGGTGGTGGGGACTTGAGAGGCGTCCGGAAACGTAGGCTGCCATCCTGCGAGTAGCTAATAGGACCGATGATGCAACGACCCGGCCTGAGATAATCCAAGAACTGTTCTCTCATGGAGCGATGTAGTGAAAGAAGGTGGGATGTGAGTGGTCTCTGTATGCCTCGAATCGACGGAAAGCTTATTGAATTGACGAGTGAAAGGACTGCTAAGTGTTGGTGATGCCATATGGATATTGGATAGTCAAAACCTCAAGAAGCTGAGCTCACATGATCACCGTGGTCGTTCATGATCTAGCTACGCGAGCATAGTATCATAATGGACGTGAATTGCAGTGATTGGCCAAAGTCTGCGCCGCACTTGTCGCCCCCACGTCAACGTTGGCGCATATCCACATGCAGGGGACTGAGTTGAAAATGCCGAGCCAGGCCTGCGTCATGTCTTCTGCTAACCCCCAGACATGGAGTATCTGGGCAGCTCCTTGAAGCCATGGGGACCATACCCTGGAGCTGCCAGCAAACATCATCTTCGAGTCTTGGTAATACCTCTGCCTTATATTCCGAATATGTGGCGCATGGACACAGAACTGGACTCTATGCAACTATTGCAGTCTTGTAAGTTCCATTGATCTTGTTGTTGGCCATCGCCTGGAAGCTTCTGGAACCTCCAGAGAGGCAGTATCGTTCGCCGCGTTGTGGGTCTTGAGGAGGATGGAACATAACGAATAGCAGGACTGAGTCGACGGAGTATCACGATGTGTCTCCAATGCTGCCTTGACCGAGTTCTTCATGGTCAGATTGCCGGACAAGACTTTGTAGAGACTGGGTGATCTTACCAGCCTGCTACTTTGACCTTAGGCCCAGCAGAGAATAGTCTGTAAGAGCCAAGAGCATTCTTTCTGTAACGCCCGGCTTGTGCCAGATCATGCCTGAAGGAGCCAATCTAGATCCCTGACCGAGCGCCCGAGCTGGCCGGCCGACGACCGCCGCATTGGCCACTCCCACTTAGGGCTATGACCGACTGGTCTAGACTAGACTACCGTCAGAAAAAGAGTCAAGATAATGGCGATCCAAGGTAAGTGACGGCACGAGAATGGGTCTTCTTGTTGTCTCATCCGGTTGCTGACTCGTTGCCGTGCCCCTCCCCCTTTGACTGGAGAGAGGGGACGCTAGACTTCGGTCGCCGGCCTCTTTTGACTTTGGGACGTTGCGCATTCCCCAAAGTATCGTTTGGTGAAGTTTCCCGAGTACTAAGGAGCATATTAGCTACATGTAGGCGCCCATACAGAAGTAACGAATTGTCATTGTCGACTTACTCCTTATCTTTGAACCTTCGGCGTTTGATCATCTGTAAAGCCTCTTTACGCATGTTGCAAGAAAAGTGCTCGTTGAAATCGAGGGTTATAAGTTCCCACATGCAGTGGCGCTTGGTGTGTCGGTAATGATCGAGGAGAAAGAAGAGATACTCTTCCTGATCCTGGCGTCTGGCGTTGGCACTAACGCTGGGTACGGAACGGTCCGACGCCTGTTGGGTGCTGGCATGACTCGGAGAAAGATAGCCCAAGCAATGAATGCCCATGCGTGAGCAGTTCTGGCCTGTCCAGCTTGTCAGACGGAGAATCGGACCACGAAAGCCATTGATCGACAGATAGACGCGACTAATTCAGCGAAATAAAACTTACATGAGGGACGCCCCTCATCACAAGGCATCTTGCGGATCTGACAGGTCTTGCAGCCAGGCTCCGTGTGCTGGGGTTGAGAGGTCTGCAATTGAGGCCTCGTGGTCATGACGACGTGAGAGGGGTTCGGACGGGCAACAAAGATCGGTGGCTCCAATGAATCCGAGGTTGGAGACGTAGGAATGGAACTTGAGGCGGGAGGGTTGAGTGCATCAGCAAGATGGGGGGGCGTAGGGGGGTGACTCGAGCGCGACGAGGACATGTTCACATCGTCATCCGGGTCGCACAGCACGTTCTGTAGGTCCATGACGGAACAGCGGCTGGGCTTGGGGTCGGAACGCGGGATAACAGTAGCATAGCCATGGCTGGCGCTGCTAATGAAGCTTGAACTACTATGATTTCTATCGTTGTTGCTGCCGAGGACGCCGAAGGTGGTAGGATGCGAGGGTGTTGGCGATGGCGAGGGGGGGAATCTGAGCGCGTCATGACGGGAGGATGCAGCGGCAGGAGCCGGCGTGGTAGCCGAAGACACAGCCGGAGCCGGAGCCGGAGCTGGACCGGCAGCCAAGCGGCGGTAGTAGGTTGGCGGTGGCGCTTGGTTGACGGAGAAGGAATAAGGTTCGAGGCGACCGGCAACCTGGGCGGCGTCATGACGCGACGGACGAGCCAGCGACAACGACATGGACGGGACCGAGGGCGGAGGAAGAGGAGGTGGAGGAGCGGGAGGAGGCTGGAGAGTCTCGGAAGGAGGAGGAACAGCAGCGGCATCAGCAGCGGCGGAGACCGGCCGGTTGTCGGCTGCGACGGTGACGGCGACGGCGGCGGCGTTGGTGTTGGTGTTGGCGGGCATCCGCATCGTGTCTCACTTCCAGTTCCAACAGTCCACGTCCACGTCCACGTCCGCGTGCACACACTGCACACTTCCGCCAGGTGCGCGCGAGCGGGCGAGTAAGGGGAAACCCGAGGGGGCGGAGACGAAACGGGACGGCTTTTGACACGTGGAGGAGTAGGCTCCAACTTCCAGCCTCTTCCGAGCAAGGCAAAGCAAAGGCAGAGCAAAGCAAAGCAGAGCAAAGCAAAGCAGAGCAAGGCAGAGCAGAACAAAGCAAGGCAAAGCAACGATAATTACCTTGCTGTATCCGTACCCATACTCGGTACAATAATTAAGCTAAGGTATCCGTAAGCTAAGCGCCCACTCACTCCTTTCGCCTGAGCCTGAGCCTGGCTGCGCTCGCTTCGCTTCGCCTCGCCTCACCTCCTGTCCAAGTCCAGTCTCCTCTCCTCTCCTTCTCATTTGTGCTCTCTCCTCTTTCTCTCTCCTTCCCATGTGTCTTCCTCAGCAGTAGCCAGTTGCCAGGACTGAACTCAATTGGATTGGATTGGACTGGGCTGGACTGGACTGGACTGGACTGGAGCAATAGACGGAGACATGGGCTTTTCGATTATGGGCTCGAGCAAAGACTAGGGCCGGAGACTGTGACGAGGGGCGGAGCACCATCATCACCACCACCACCACCACCAGTTGGCAGCAACGCAGCGTGGCACTGGGCATTTACCTCACTTGGGTAGCCGGGCCCGGTGCTGGTACGGATAAGACGGTAGAAAACAGGGGCTGTGGGCATCTTTCCAAATGTGCTTCAGTTTCCGTAGCCTGTGAGTCGTGAGTCCGTACGTATTATGACTGGCTATCCGTACTTAGCTGTCTTGTGCCCTGTTTGGCGGCTAGCTGAGACTGGGCAGTAACATAACAATAAGCAGCCTAACAGGAATAGCAGACATGGATGATGGGCTTGATGGACGATGGATGTTGCAGCGTGGCATGACGGCTCACGGCGGTCTGGACGTGTCCTTCTCCATCTCTCCGCTCCCCTACACGAGGTACGTACTATTTCGATACCCACCCTCGGTCCTAAGACCAGGGATTTCCCCCAATCACAGCCCGGGCGGTTACAAGCTACCCGACCTGCTGACGAAAACAACTTCTCATTGGCTCCCCTAATTCGGTCCATTTCGGCCAGGTCCGCTCAACGGTTGATTTGCGGCTTCCTGCCGTTGTCACACGGTGCAACCTGGTGGGGAGGTATGGCGGAAAGGTAGTTTTCCCATGTACCTATCTTGCGGCAGTACCCATGAGGTACGTATCTCAGAACTACTTGTAGGTACCTTACGGAGCACAATGTACGGAATTCGTGCCGTTCCTCTGAACCCTCTTCCCCATTCCCACACCGCCGCACCACCTTACTTTCCATCGCTTTCGCCCTCTCTCTCTCTCTCTCTCTCTCTCTCTATCTCTTCTGGAGATTTTTTCCCTTCCTCTTTGACTCGGGGATTTTCACTCACGTGATTATTTGCAGTCCTGTGTATCCGCACCAACCCCTTCCATTCCACAAGGGCAGGGTACCCAAATTGTTAGGTATCCGTACATC